CTTCCTGGAAATACAGAAAAAAAGATTGCATGAAAACAGCAGCAGCACTTCCCATCCTACTTCAAGGAAATGAAAACCTGCACCCTTGAGGAACACAAATTAATGCTTGAGATATCCAGAACATTTTTAAGGAAATGGCTTGAAAATTTTATGTTTATATGAAACAATTTGTTCTGATTGAAACATTATTTTTGTAAAATTCTCATATTGGCAAAAAAATCAAATAATTATTACTTCTGTTCTAAATTGTAATAATACTCCACTCCTCCTTATTTTGGAATTGACAGCGCACTGAAATATTATAATTTCTCTCAGGCTCTGCATAAGACGATACTGCAGGATATAACTTTCAAATTCACCAGACTTGCTATCATGGAACTCAAGCTCCACTTGCAAGCTGCTTCTAATATTGCATGTTCCCTATCACCAGGAGGACAGCTAAGCAAAAAGCTATGCTAAGACCCCAACTCCAAAAATAAACACATTCATCTTGTCACTAATTTCACCCCGCCTCAAGTACTTACGATCACCAAAAGAGGAGTTGTCCATTTGAAGATCTGTGTCTGCTATCTAAATGTGCAGATATGTTGCTGTAGGCTGTCTTAAGCCAAAGACAACAGCAGCTTTTTGAGAGTTTGGAATTTCTTACCCTTTGCAAGTGGATGAGGCAAAGACTAAAGTTCTGTTTTATTCTTAGAAGATATGGAAATGAACATCTTCCTCCTCCTCCTCACCACTCCCCTTTCTGTGTCCGCACATATTTTATAGGTAGCTTATTGCCAAGTGCTTGCCACGACTGTCAAGGAGAAAACTAATTTAACCCTAGCCTCTGAAAGGTCTAGAAGGCATCTCCTGTGAGGAGAAGCTGAGGACACATGGGCTGCCCAGTCTGGAGAACGGAAGTTTGAGAAGTGGCTCTCTGCATCTCTCTGAGGAGGGGAAATGGAGAGGGATGTGCTGGGCTTTGCTCCTGGGAACTGATGGCAGGTGTGTGGGAATGGGTCAAAACTGTGCCAAGGGAAGATAAGACATCACACTGGGAAACATTTCCTTACTGTGAAGGTGGTCAAACACCGGAATCAACTTTTTAGAGAGGTGATTGATGCCTCATGGCTGTCAGTGCCAAGGGGAATTTGGAGAATGCCTTCAATCACGTGCTTTAACTTTTGGCTAGTCTTGAAGTGGTCAGGCACTGAGACTTGATGATCAGTGAAGATCCCTTCCAACCAAACTATTCCATTCCACTCCACTCCATCACATCTCATCTCATTCTAATTTACTAAGACAGAATGAAAGCATTTTTATACCCCATCTCACTGTGAAAACAGGACAGCTGGAAGAAACAGTTTTTTAGTAACCGATCTCCAACATCATCACAACTGAAATCAGCTGCCAAGAAGGGCAAAGAGGAAGAGGTGGATACTGAAAATAACTGGCATGAGACATGAATGGTTTCACCTTTCTTTCCCCAGGAAGCTTTTCATGGTGCCAGAATGTACAGGTGACAAGTACAATCTAAAACAGACAGGACTGTAGGAATCTCTTTACTCTAGCAATAGAGACAGCATAATTTCCTACTTAAATTTGGGCATGCACGTTTTAGGGGACAAACCACTAAATATGAAGTAAGATGTTTATTTACAGAGAAAAACAAGTTTGTCCTTTTTCAGGTGCAATTTATCACTGAAATCACCATTTCCCTTCTGCTTTGCAGCAAAGATGCTAATATCAACACACTCTGAGAATTAAAAATGAATAAGGCAGATGAAAGCATTTGACCTATCCTCAGTGGAACATTTGAGAGAAAAATGCATTTCAGAGAATGGAGTCAGGCATACATGATTTTAATTTATTTAACAGTGTCACCATGAGATTCGGGCATCTCCCCTTGCAGGAAACTCTCATTATCAGAGACTAAAAGGTTATCACCAGAAGCCTTAAAAGACTTTTGTAATTCCGATGTATGATGATTAACTACCCAGCATAGCAGAAAAACAGGCTGGTCTCATTTATTTTGCCACTACAGTGCAGGGAAAGGAACATACAGTGGTACCAAATCACAACAGCACATCTGAGGCGTGTTGTAAAATACATGCATTCATTTTCCCCACGGCCTCTGTCTCAGCGAAATGACGGGGACACAACAATATTCCATTACATTCATAAAGATGCTCCCTTTTGGCTTTCAAGCACTCTAACACCTCACATCTATGCTAAAATCAGGGCTTGGAGCCCTGTTCAGAGCTCTGCACACCGGACTGCACTTACAGATTGCTTGTGACTCATCTGAGAGTGTTTGTACTGACTCCTGGACTATTTTCCATGGCTCCAGAAAGGCTGTTAAGCAGAACTGAGAGTGCTTCCTGGCTACTGCTGGGCTCCTATTCTTGTTAACAACTCCCCTCCTGTCATGAGGTATTAGAGAAAGGGCAATATCCATGCAGCACTCACTACCATAAATCCTCTTAGCCAAGCCAACCAATTCACTGTCAGAAAGTGAAGCAATAGTCTTGCAGAGAAAAAAAAAGGACTGGCATTACCTTGTACTTATGTCATTTCTTCATATTGGAGCTGCAGGTTGTCAGTGATTACTCCCAAGAACAGAGTGCACAGAGTGAAAGTAGCTTAGCCCACAGTGAATGCATGCAAACTTCCTTTTTACAAAACACAGCTGTGCTTTCTTTCTTTTGCTTTTTTTTTTTTTTTTGGGGG